TGTGAGCTTATAGTGGCAACTACAGAGGAGAATGACCAGGAAAATATGAAAAGGAAAACTAAAACAGGCTAGGTTTTATTTTTATTTTTTAGATCATAGGATGTAAAGAAGATAATCCATATTCAAAAAGCTTAATCTGATAATTACTTTTAAATATCCTAGAATATTCATTAATAGTGTTCTCACCCTGCAGTAGACTTACAGATTTTAAAGGCTGATTATTGTTACAGCAACAGTTACTTAGTTATACTCTAAAAACTTTCAAAAAATACATGGAATAGCTGAAATGCCTTGAGAATGTACCAGAAGAAAAGGAGGCCAAAGATACTTAACTGTGGGGATTAAGCCATTGATTCTTTAGCACTGGGGAAGAACAGACTAAACACACATTCATTATTAGTGTTTGTCATTTATTTTTTTTAGTTGAGTGATGTGTCTTCCCCAAGATCAATAACTTCCACACCACTTTCGGGAAAGGAATCAGTATTTTTTGCTGAAGCACCATTCAAGGTATTACCCCTTTCTGTGTTCAATTCTGTTACTGTATTTAATGATAGCTGATAGCCTTGCTTTAAATTATACAATACCGGGCAAGACAGACTGTTTTCGAATCACTATTTCACAGCCATTTCACCATGAAGTCCCCCTTGATTATTTTTCATGGTATGAACACTGTGAAACAAGATTAGAAAAAACAACGCATATTTACTTTTTTTTCCCCCTTTTCAAATAAGAGATAAATGTCATTTATGTAGAATCTTTAAAAGATGAAGTCATAGAAGCAGAGAGTAGAATTGTGGTTCTGAGGGTTGAGAAGACTAGAGAATTTGGCAAGATGTTGGTCAGAAAATGCATTTCAGTTTGACAGGAGGAAATCATTTAAGAGATCTGTTATACAGCCTGGTGACCAGGATTAATAGTGTTTTTATTCTTTTAAATTGCCGAGGGCTGGGGAGGTGGCTCAGCAGATAAAACAGTTACTGCTCAAACACAAGGATCAGAATTCAAATCCCAAGAATCCATGTAAAGCTTAGGTACAGTGGCATGCATCGGTTATCCCAGGGCTCCTAGAGTGAAGTGGGAGGCAGTGACAGGAGAATTCCTGGAAGTTCGCAGGCCAGCTAGCCTGGCATATACAGAGGGGGAAAAAACAAGAGACCCTATCACAAATGAGGTGGAAGGTGAGGACCAACACCCGATGTTGTCCTCTGACCTCCACACCCACACCATGGCATGCATATGCCGGCATTCACATATACCAAGATTAATAATACTTTTAAAAATTTGAGAGGAAATTTTCAGTGTTCTTAAAAAATCAGAACACGTGACAATATTAACTAGCTCAGTTTAGCCATTCTACACCATACAACTCAAGACATGATGCACACAACAAAGTTAGACCTTTAGTCCCAGAACTCAGGAGGCAGAGGTAGGTGAGATTGAGGCCAGCCTGGTCTACATAGTAAGTTCCAAGTCAGCTGGGGCTACAAGGAGACTTTCTCAAAAAGAATCCCCCCCCCCTGAAAAAATAGGTAAGGTGGAGGCAGCTACTGGTTGGTAATATTCCTCTCAATTATTTATGAATATAAATTATAAAATGCCAGTCATACTTTAAAAAGTTCTCTAAATAAAAACATAGTATGTTTTGTTGAGTACTGGGATAGAAAAAGGACATTAATGGAGCCAACTGTGGTGGTGCATACCCGAAATCTCCAGCTCCAGGGGTAGAGGCAAGATCAAGCATTCAGTGACAGCTCAGTGTATATATAGCAAGTGCATGGCTAGCCTAAACTACATCATGAGACCTTGCCTAGTAAGTAAGAAGTAGTAAAGTATTGCAGAAGGCCCTGGTTCCAAGCCCCTTCATAAATACAAAAAGGACATTAGTGGAATAACTGATATAATTTGATTAAAACTTGCTATAATTTAGTTAATAGTAATTTATCATGTTGATACCTTCATTTTGGCAAATGTATTATGTACACAGAAGTTGTTAAGATGAAGAGAATCTGGGTTTATAAATCTAAAATTATTCCAAGTAGAAAGTATGTTTAAATTTTTTTTTTTTTTTTTTTTTTTGTTCTTGGGATTGAACCCATTTTGGTCTTTTTGAGACAGGGTCTCCTTGTAGCCCCAGCTGTCCTGGAACTCACTATGTAGACCAGGCTGGCCTTGAACTCACAGGGATCCGCATGCCTCTGCCTCCTGAGTGCTGGGACTAAACGCGTGTGCCACCACGCCCGGCCTAAAACATTTTTTAAAGAGAAAAAATATGTAAGGTCTTATCTTATGGGCTTCATTACAGAAACTTATAAAGTATTCTCTAGATTAAAAGAGAGACAGTAATGTACCTGATAACCAATCTTCTTACCAAATTGAGTTGACATAATGCCAACCAAAACAATAAAAACTTTTGTTGTTTTCTCATATCTTTATAAAGCCTTTTCCAGACTATAAAAGCAGTATGTATTTATTTTAGGAATTTTAGAAAATCCATTAGGCTTTTCTCCATTCTGTAAATCTGTGCTTGAAAATTATTTTAAGGAAGAGGGAGTATATCTAGTCAGTATCTGTTCACCTAACAACCACTAGGAAGTTGTACTTTGGATGAAATAACATTTATAATCATTAAAATGAAACCCAGCTTATGTGATTGCCTATTTTCATTCCTCCAACTTAAAATTACTAAAGATAAATTTTCTTTTAACTTAGATGCACAGTGATCTGAGAAACATTCTCTCAACCTATTATTGCCTTCACTTTAGCTAGATTGTATTAATAAACTCTTAAGATGGACAGCTATAGAGGACAAGGCAAGGAAATTCCCTTTATTAGTATCCCAGTGTCTTCTGATATGACTGTGGCTTAAGAGAAGCAATGCATTCCAGTGAATAATATCACAAATTGTAGCTTTCAGTAGTAAGACAGACAGATTGTAACTTCTAAACAAATCAAAACAAAACAAGATTAAAAATGACAACTCTTTAGAACGATGAAAGCTTAAAAAGACCAAGTGTTGGTGATGTCTTAGAAGTGGGCCTTTCATAGTCTGTTGGTGGGATTGCAAAAATGTTACAGATACTTTGGAACTGTTGGATAGTTTCTTTAAATGTTAAATATGTGCTGGGGCTGGAGAGATAGCTCAGTGGTTAAAGGCACTGACTGCTCTTATAGAGGACCCAGGTTTGATTCCCAGCACCCACATGGTGGCTAACAACCATCTATAATTCCAGTTCCAGGGAATCTGACACTCTCTTCTGAGCTCTGCGGGCAGTGCCAGACACGGGTGCACTTATATACATTCAGGCAATACACTCATACACATAAATATAATAAATAAAATATATATTTAAAAAGTTAAATATATGCCTACTGCAGGATTCAGCCATCCATCTATAGGTGCTTATCCAAGAGAAATGGAAATATATATAGCTATACAAAATCTTATACTTAAATGTTAATGATTTATTCACAATACCCCTAAACTGAAAACAATGCAAATGTCATCAATAAGTGAACAAAGGTGATAAGATATATCTATCTAGGGGCCTATCACTCAGTCATAAACTGTGAAGGAAGTGATCTACATATAGCATAAATAGCATCATAGATCTGAAAATCACCATGCTGAGTGATAAAAGCCAGCCACAAAAATATCTTTACTGTATGGCATTCCATTTTGCAACTTTAGAAAATGCAAAAAGGAGATTCATGGCTGTTTGGGAATGGAGCAGGCAGGAATTGGCTGTGGTGAGGGAAATTTGGGGGCGATGGAGGTCTGTGATTATTATACTGGTGCCTCCATCAGTATACATTTGTTATACCTCATCAAATTGTAAACTTTCAGTGGAAGCAGTTTACTGTATATAGCATATATAGTTGAAAAAATAAGGTTTTTGTGGGGCTTTTTTGTTTTTTTTGTTTTTTTTTTTTCTTTTTTGTTTTTTAAAGGGACGGGGCCGCTCTTTATAAAGATAAGCATTTGCCAAAAATGAGCTACTCAATTTTAAACATTTACAAAAGTCTTTGCTGAAAAAGGATCACTTATCATTGTCTGTAGCTCATCTAGATGAAACACAGTAATTTCTGGAAGTTTTTATATGTTTTGAAATAAAAATCTTGAAATGAGAGTCTATCTAAAGTTCTGAGAAATGTTGCAGTATTTTAACAAATTTTTTTTCAGTGACAAACAGAAAGAGAATTACTTATTAATTCAAGAGTATTCAAACTTTTATTCCCTTGTAAAATTACCTTTTTTGCCCCTGACAAGTCATATTTATTGCCATCTCTCTTAGAAAGATTAATAATATCTATGGCATAAAATTTAAAAAATGATAAGCATAAAAATTTGTTTAAAAGACCCAGATAAATACTACTTCTACTTAACTTTATTATGAAAATAAACTGTGCTATCTCAGGTTTTAGGACATAACCCAGTAAATGAGCTATTATATAAATTAAATTTTAAATGTTTGTTACATGCACTAAATAGAATTTCTGAAAAAATTTTGAGAGTATACCCTCTGCAGCTTCTGATGTTTTAGAAATCACACCTTAGTAAATAATTATCTCTTTTGTTTGCTTTTATTGTAACTGTCTTTTTTCCTTGAGTTTAACTCAAGGGAGAAAGTGCTGGGTTCTGTGGTATGCTGTTACATTTAGGGGAGTTCTTCAAAAGCCATTTTTGTGTTTCTGTATACAGGCTGAGATTAGTTCTATACAAGAAAACAAAGACAGACTGAGTGACAGCACCACAGGTAAGATAAAGGAGAATCTGTTTTCCTTCCTTTGACCAAATGTTTTCTCCCCATGTTTATGAAGAAAGAGCAAAGGCTAGTTGAGTACTCTGTGTAAGGTCACCAGAAGCAGCCCATGCCCATCACAGAGCTCCCAGTAATGTATAAGCTGTGCTCTCTGTTCAACAGGGTACCTGAATGTGGACTTTAAAGAATCTTTCAGTGTAGATATAAAAAGTACATTTCTAGCCAGGCATGGTGGCACACGCCTTTAATCCCAGCACTTGGGAGGCAGAGGCAGGCGCGGGTGAATCTTTGTGAGTTCGAGGCCAGCCTGGTCTACATAGTGAGTTCCAGGACAGCTGGTGCTACAGGGAGACCCTGTCTCAAAAAAAGACCAAAAAAAAGGACATTTCTGTTTCATTTGTCCCTAACTAAATCTTAGTATTTTCTTCAATTATGAATAAAGGCAGTAGAATTAACAGACAGTGACTATCACCAAAAGAACTCAAAGTTTCTTGCCACTTTACTCATAATTGTTAATATCTTTAAATTTTACTTAATAGCATCTCTCCTAAAAAGTACAGTGTTATTGGACCTACTTTAGGTCTTCCAAATAAGCCTTTAGGGGGCCAGAGAGATAGCTCAGCAGTTAAGAGCACTGGCTGCTCTTGCAGAGGACCTGGGTTTGAATCCCAGCACCCATATGGTAACTAACCACCGTCCTAACTTCAGTTCCAAGGGATTCAATGCCCTCTTCTGACCTCTGTGGGCATTGTATGACATGGGTGCACTTACATACATGGAGGCAATACACTCATACACACAAAATAAAATTAAAAAATAAGCTTTTAGATTACTGTATCTTGTATATCTAATGCATTTTTAAACATTATTTTGAAATGCAGGTAATAGGCTTTAGGCTGTCAGCTTACAGCACCATCTCTCCTTACAGCTGATCAGCAAGTTATATCACAAAGACAGAGAGAATCCACCGCTAACTTTACTCACTTGGTCTCTAAAGCATGCCCAGACAGAGTGCTAGTAAACTCAGATAGTTGCAGTGACTTCACCAAGATAAGGTTTAGTTAATTGTGTATTTTAAGAGTCTTTCCTAGGATTGAGATTTTAAGGCTAGCCTATGCTACCTAGTAAAACCCTCTCTCAAAAAAGAAAGTTAAGGCCTGGCATGGTGGCACATGCCTTTAATCCAGGCACTCAGGAAGCAGAGGCCGGTGGATCTCTCTGGGTTAGAGGCCACTTTGGCCTACAAAGCAAGTTCTAGGCCAGCTACAGCTACATAATGAAACCGTAGCTCAAAGATACAAGCAAACGAAAGTATCTTTAAGACTGTCTTTGAATGACTGTAGATGATTTCAAAAGCCCCTTTGCTCTAACACAGTTTCTTAGAGTATCCTGCATCTCTGTATGAATTTGTGGAATTTAGAAACTAAATTTTCTTATTCTTGGTAGAAATCCATTAATATGCCTGAACAAATGTTCCACTGGATTCTTTTAAAAGCATTCATTATATCTTAGAATTAATTTCTATTTCTGTCGCTTGGGGTTGCACTCGGGTTCTCATTCCTTTAGTTCCTCTCACAAAAACCAAAGCTCAGCAGCAGTGATGTCAAGGGGACTCAGAATCTATCCCTTAGGTATCAGACATCAGAACAGTGTAGTAAGTCAACCTGAAACAGCAGTTTTGGGCCAGACATGGAGACCCTAGAGATTATTTTTGGAGGGAGAATACTTAAAATACTTGAACCAAGGTGTGCTGGATAGCTTTAGTGTCAACTTGACACACCTGGGTTGAGGGAGCCTCAATTGGGGAATTGCCTTCATAGGGCTGGCCTGTGGCCATGTCTGTGGGGCATCTTCTTGATCTGTGTGATGTGGGAGGCCCAGCCCACTGTGGGTGGTGCCACCCCTGGGCAGGTGGGCCTCTGTTGCATAAAAAAGCTGGCAGAGCAGGGGCCAGGGAGCAAGCCTGTAAGTAGTGTTCCTCCATGGCCTGTGCTCCAGCTCCTGCTTCCAGATTTCTGCCCTGAGTTCCTACCTTGGGCTCCCTGATGAACTATGACTTGAGAGATGTAAAATAAAATAAACCCTTTCCTCCCCAAGTTGGTATTGGTCAGAGTACTTTGTCATAGCAATGGAGAAACAAACTAGACCCAACGGAAGTATGCTTTTGCCTTCTGATGTTCTGTGCAGGTTCTGTTCCACTAGGGCGAGGAAGAACTAGTGACCTGTTGGGAAGTCCTTGCAGATCCAAGCAAGATAATAAAGTCTGAGCTAGAGTTACTGGGGTAAGAAATACAACAGATTCCAGATAGTCTTCTAGAAAGATCTACAGACATAGGGAGAAATGAAAAATGCCCAAGATCCGACACTTCTTCAAGTGATTAGAAAACTGTGTCACCTGAGTCCATTCTCTACAATTATATCTATCTGGCATTGTGCTTGGAATTCCAGAGCAAAAGAAAATGAAAAGCTAGTAGCCAAAGCTGCTGTTCCTCTGTCCCATGGTAGATAGGACTGGGAAAGGGTGAGTTGGTTAGGGTTAGAGAAATAGCACTTAAATTTTTTTTAAATAGTGCTTTAAATTCCTTTACTTTTTTCCAAGGTGCTGATAGCTTATTGGATATAAGTTCCGAAGCTGACCAACAGGATCTTCTTGCTCTATTACAAGCAAAAGTTGCTTCCCTTACCTTACACAACAAGGAGTTACAAGATAAATTACAGGTAGGTAACTATATTGCTGCTATAGACTAGTAGATTCAAAGTATGCTTTTTTTTTTTTTTTTTTTTTTTTTTTGAGACAGGGTCTCCCTGTAGCTCCAGAGGTCCTGGAACTCACTACATAGACCAGGCTGGCCTCAAACTCACAAAGATCCGCCTGCCTCTGCCTCCCAAGTGCTGGGATTAAAGGTGTGCGCCACCATGCCCAGCTAAAAGTATGCTTTTTTTTTTTTTAAGTGTAGTCAAGTATGTTTTCTTTTAAATATCCACATAAGTTTCTTCTCATTTTTAAATCAATGTAGCTTTAAGACTCCCATTGGTCCAGATTATTTGTTTATTAACAGTGTTACTAATTCTAATTCTGTAATTGCTAAATTATATTCAATTATATATAGTTTGATAAGTGTAGTGACAAATGTGATAAGTGTAGTGACAAATGTAAATTTTAAATATCGAATACAGATAAAATTCATTTACGGGATGGAGAGATGGTTCCATGGTTAAGAGTACTGGCTGCTCTTGCAGAGGACTTGGGTTCAATTCCCGGCACCAGATGGTGTCTAATAGCTGGCTGCCTGTATTTCCAGTTCCAGAGGAATCCAACACTCTCTTCTGATCTCTGTGGGCATTACACAACAACATGGATACACTTACATACACGCAGGCAATACTATGCATAAAATGAAAATAATAAATAAAAATATTTTAAAAGATTCATTTACATAAAATTGATTTGTATGTAAATATATACCTATGGAATAACATGATCATTTTCATCTATAAAATTTTATATTTCAAGTTTTATATATTAAATTTTTTTTGATAGTTTCATACATTTATATAATGAATTTTAGTCATTTTCACTCTCCCATACCCCCCATTCCCCTCCCTCTCCTGCTAACCCCGCTCCCACCTCATGTCTTTTTGCTGCAGCCCACTGTATTTGATTAGAGTTCCTTACCCAGACTTGGATAGGAGGTTATTTACTGGAGGAAGGGCAACTTATCAGTGGGTATACCATTAAAAAAAATAACACCTCTTCCACAACAACTCTTAACTGCTGATAGTCCCTCAGAGAGGGGTGGGGCCCCTTGGCCCCTACCCATCCATGATGAAATGCTGAAGACCCAGTCTTGTGCAGGTAGTATGCAGATAACCACAGCTGCACTGAGTTTATGAGTACAGTGGCCATTTCATGTCCAGATGACAATTTTTTTGCTACACATCTCCCCATCCTCCAGATCTTCACTTTTTTCTGTCCTCTTTTCAGTGATGTTCCTTGGATGGGATGATATAACTAGACCATTTAGAGCTGAGCATGCCACCATCTCTTACTCTGCACTTTAGCCAGTTAGGGGTTTCTGTGTCAACTGTTGCCACTGTAGTAAGAATCAAAGGCTGGACACAGCACTAATCTGTGACTAATCTATTAGTATAAGCATGAGTGTTTAGAAAGCAGTATGACAACATGACCAGTAAAACAATAGTAGGTTTATTGCCCCACCACCCAGAGCCTATGACCTCCCAAGGCATGGGCTCTTGAACATGATTACAAACCAAGCATAGTGTCTCCCAAGTTCTCGTAGGGTCCCTTGTTCCTGGTGCTAGTAGACAAACCCCACTAAATTTTCTCCTTCCTGCTCTCTGTTTGATGTGCCTTCACTCTCTTCATAACATATCTTTATCTGAATTAGAGTAACTTACAAAGGCGAACACGCTGCGCCCTGTTCTGCTCTGTGGCTCAGTGGCCTGCTGGTCCAGATCGCTTCCACGCCCCACCCACAGTCTCCATTAGCTTTCACTCACCCCTCTTCGGTAAATGCCCTCATCCACACAGCGAGACACCTGGGCGTTTTTCCCTAGCTTCCAAGATGGCACTCACGCCCCTCCCTCCTCTGCTAACTCTCCGCAGCTCCCTCTCTGTAGCTAACTCCTCACAGCCAATTCTCCGCAGCAGGCCCTGCCGCTCTGAGGAACAATTGCCCCTCGGGACAATTGCCCCTCGGGACACACATGGGTTCCGTCTTATGGAATGAGCCTCAATTCAATTAGAAATCAATTGGATACCCCCATAACAGTCATACCTCTGTTTCATAAGGCCCATCTTGCCTCACAGATCATTATTGTAGCTCATAGGATTCATATGAGTAAGATGAGTTTTACCCCCTGGCAGCCTGCATACCACCATCTGGTGTTGTGAAAGCTAGCCAATAGGGAGGAAGCTTCTAGCTCTAGCTCGCTAACTTGTATTGTTTTGAGAGTATCTGGGGCCTCCCTAATCAAAGGGAGGTATGTCTCCTACCTGGCACCTGGATTTTCAGTTACTAACCCATGGCTTCTGGAAGGAGCATTATCTATCCATGGAGGGTACTTCTACTTAAGCTATTTTTATTTTTTTTTTATCATTTTTATTTTATGTGTATGAGTGTATCGCCTGTATGTATGTGAGTGCACCCATGTCGTGCAATGCCCCAGAGGTCAGAAGAGGGCGTCGGATTCCCCTGGAACTGGAGTTAAGGACAGTTTGTAGCCTCCATGTGGGTGCTGGGAATCGAACCCGGGTCCTCTGCAAGAGGAGTCAGTGCTCTTAACTGCTGAGCCATCTCTCCAGCCCCCATACTTAAGCTATTTTTAGTTTATATTCAGTAAGCTTATAATTGGTAAGTTTCCGTATATCCTTGGTTTTGTTTATTCCTCCCTCCTTCCCTGTTATCTCTCTCCTCCCACCCCCTCCCTGCTTAGACCTTTACATTGAAATTCATATACTTAAAATTTTAAATTTTCCCAGTGTAGTGGGTGACTCACACCTTTAATCCCAGCACTTAGGAGGCAGAGGCAGGTAGAGAGATCTGTGTGAGTTTGAGGCCAGCCTGGTCTACATAGCAGGGCTTCAAAGTGAGACCCTGTCTCAAAAACAAACAAAAAAATAGAAGTACCCCCCCAATAAAATGTACATAGTACTAGACATTGATTTAGTAAAGCTGATCACCTAACAATCTAAGAACTTGTTAAGAAGAAACTATATCGTGCCTTGGGTAGCTGAGATGATATAAGAAACAAAGGAAAAATTTGAAGCAGGTTTTACTGACAAAACAATGTTTTAAAAATACACAAATAATATGTGATAATAGAGGACGGAGTGAGCTTATATCATAAATCTGGCTCCCATGTCCCAAATCATGTGTTTTCATGGTTCAAGAGAACAAATGCGAAATGGTCACACTGCTAATGGTCACACATTTCCATACCTAAATTTCAGGTTTGTTTCTCTCATTCCAGTTGCTTGTGTGCTGAGCCACTCCTTAGAGTTTCTTAAATTCCTTCTCTCCCAGGCCAGATCACCCAAGGAAGCAGAAGCAGACCTGAGCTTTGACTCATTTCATTCTACCCAGGCTGACCTAGCCCCATCCCTGGGCAAATCCAGTGACATCCCTCCCCCAGATGCCAAATCATCTCCATCTGTTGTCACACAACCTGTGGAGAAATCCAGCGCTGACAGTGATGTCAGAATTCAGCAACTACAAGAGATGTTGCAAGATTTACAGAAGAAGTTGGAGAGTTCTGAAGTAGAAAAGAAACAGCTACAGGCTGAACTCCAGTCCCAAAGGACAGAGCTGGTGTGCTCGAACAACACAGAGATTTCAGAGAATGGCTCTGACCTCAGCCAGAAACTTAAAGAAACTCAGAGCAAGTACGAGGAGGCCATGAAAGAAGTCCTCAGTGTGCAAAAGCAGATGAAACTAGGTCTCCTCTCTCAAGAGAGTACAAGTGGCTATTCACATCTCCGTGAGGGGAGTGTCACTGATGAAGAGATTGATGCTCTAAAGAGGGATCTACAGAATGCATTAGAAGAAAATAAAAGATATAAAGAGCGAGTGAAAGAGTTAGAAGAAAAGCTTCTGGAAAAGGAGAAGGCCGAGGTGACGAAGCCACCTGCAGAAGAGCTTAAGGAGATGAAAAGCTCATACTGCTCTGTTATTGAGAGTATGAATAAAGAGAAGACATTTTTGTTGGAGAAATACCAACAGGCCCAAGAAGAAATCTTGACCTTAAAAGATACACTACAAAGTCAGATGGCCCAGGAACCCCCTGATGAAACTGGGGACATGAAAGAGGCCATGAACAGGATGATATATGAACTTAATAAACAGGTGAATGAGATATCCCAGCTGTACAAAGAAGCCCAGGCTGAGCTGGAGGATTACAGGAAGAGGAAATCTCTAGAGGATGTAACAATCGAATATATCCCCAAAGCAGAACATGAGAAACTGATACAGGTGACAAACATGTCCAGGGCCAAAGCTGAAGAAGGGCTATCCGAAATGAAGTCTCAGTATTCAAAAGTGTTGAACGAGTTGACCCAACTCAAACAACTCGTGGATGCCCATAAAGAAAATTCTGTGTCCATCACAGAACATTTACAGGTGATAACTACGCTGCGGACATCTGCGAAAGAGATGGAAGAACAGATCAGCAACCTCAAAGAGCAGCTTGCGAGCAAGGAAGTGGAGGTTGCGAAGCTGGAGAAGCAATTCCTAGAGGAGAAAGCAACTATGACCGATGCCATGGTACCCAGGTCTTCCTATGAAAAGCTCCAGGCATCCTTAGAGAATGAAGTGAGTGTGTTAGCAGCCAAGTTAAAGGATTCGGTAAAAGAGAAAGAGAAAGTCCATTCAGAGGTCGCCCAGGTTCGAAATGAGGTCTCACAAATGAAAAGGGAAAGGGAGAGCATTCAGACGCTCTTGAAATCCAAAGAGCAAGAAATAATTGAACTCCTGCAAAAATCCCAGCAAGCTCAGGAAGAACTAGCTGAAATGAAAAGATATTCCGAGAACTCTTCAAAAGTGGAAGAGGATAAAGATAAAAAGGTTGGTGAAATTTTCTTGTTACTGCTGAGTTTCTAGTAATAAGCCCTAATAAGTCCCATCAACTTTTTAGACATTAAACATTTACACAATTTGTTGGCACTAACCTGTGTGCATACTCAGAGCCTTTACAAATGTCTGTATCTGTCTACAAAACCACATTAAGAATAGCATGAGAAACCAAGTGTAGTGTTGCACACCTGTAATCCCAATACTTGGGAAACCAAAGCAAGAGGATTATAGGGCTAACCTGGGCTACACAGTAAACACTTTCCCTCAAAAAAGTATTCTGGATATTGATTTTTTTTTTTTTTAATGTAATGTCTTGCCCATTATGTAGCAAGTTAGTGAAGAACCAGGATGGCCTCAAACTTACAGATACTTGTTGTTGCTACCTCCCAAGTTCTAGGATTAAAGGTGTGTGCCACCATGCCCAGCCAAATATTAATTTTTTTTAAAGCACCAGTTTAGTGTCACTTCCCTTAGACTAAACCATTTTTGCATATGGTACATATGTGTCCTTTAAAAATAATTTAGGGGCTGGGAAGATAGCACAGTGGGGTAGGAGCACCTGTGTAAGCATCAGGACTTGAGTTTTAATCCCCAGGACCCACACTTTATAGAAAATACCTGTAACCCCAACACTGTCAAGGGTAGACACAGGAAGATATCCAGAGCTTGTGGGTGCTGGGATTCGAACCTGAGTCTTCTGCAAGAACAACCAGTGTTCTTAAACACTGAGCCATTTCTCTAGCCCCCTGATCTGATTTTCTACTGCACTCCCTTTGAAAGTAGAAGAGGAGCTGGGTGTGGTGGCACACACCTTTAATCCTAGCACTAGGGAGGCAGAGGCAGGCAAAGACAAAAAAAAAAAAAAAAAGAGGAAAATTGTTGTTCTCTCATGTACTTAAAACACAGTATGAATTATGAATTCAGAGACCTTTATCTGATCACAGATGTCAAAAGCTTTGTTGGTTTGTCTGATTTTGTTATGCTTTATTTTATGGATTTCCTTTAAGAAAAAGAAGGGAATTGTTCCAGAGTCTCAAAGAAATAACTAAGGTTTGAGGCCTGGAACTATGCAGAATTTTGTTTGTATAGACACGTTACTACCTGTTGATGCATTTTCCTTTCTACTAGATAAATGAGATGACGAAGGAAGTCGCGAACTTGAAGGAGGCCCTGAATAGCCTCTCACAGCTCTCCTACTCAACAAGCTCATCCAAAAGGCAGAGCCAGCAGGTGGAGGTGCTGCAGCAGCAGATCAAACAGCTGCAGAACCAGCTTGCTGTGAGTGGGCTTCTGTCTGGTGCCACCTATGGGGTAGAGGATGGGACAGGTTCCATACGAGCTTAGCATAACAAAAACATTCTTGGCCTAAACGAATGTTATAGAGCAATATATTCAAGACTTGTTTGGGGACAGCAAAAGAAGGAAGCAGTAGAATTTCTACGTGTTATTTGTAATGAGATGGTTAGATGTATCTCTATGAAAGAAAAGACAGAGAGAAGATGCTATGTGCCCATCCATCCACTAATTTGTTGTTCTTTCTTTTCTGTGATGGTTGCACTTCGTCTCTGGAGTGGCGAGAGACTTTGTTACAAGGGTCCAGATCGCCGGTGGTTCTGTGTCTACATATTTGAAGCTGCTTCTTGTTCTTTCTGCTTATTTTACCCAGGAAAGCCCTCATATCTGTGTCAGTTTCTTTTGGCTATTACAATAAATGACAAACTTTTTTGGAGCAAAATGAATTTATCTCATGGTTCTAGAGATCAGAACTCTGAAATCAGTTTCACTGGACTACCATTTGGGCCTGGGCAGGGATGCTTCCTTCTTGAGGCTAAAGTGGTGCCGTCTCCTTGATGGCCCAACGTCTAGAGGCTTCCTGCCGTCCTGGACTCATGGAACCTTGCCTACCTCACCTGCATTTATCCCGCCACCTCCTCTTTCTGTCTCTGACTTTTTTGCCTCTCTCTTAGAAAGACCCTTATGATTCCATTTAAATCCATAATAATCTCTTCCTCTCCAACCCTAAATCCGTAATAGCATCTGCAAGATCCCTTTTGCCATTTAAGGTAGCATTCACAGGTCTTAAGGATTAGAATGGAGCATCTTTTGAAGGCCATTATTTAGCCTACCACAGTATCTGTTAAGGCTTTAGTTGGCAAAGTGTATTACATTTTCCACATGGAGTTGAGGATTAGTGTACTCTGGACTGTCTCTAGCTTACATTTACAAATAGAACATAGATTGAATAAGTTTTCAGTATAGCTATACCACCAATGGCTTAAGTTTTCTAGTGGCCTTATTTTCACTGGCCACAAAGTATAATACTGTCTTCGATATCCCAGCTTTATCAGTAGTGAAATAATCAGATGAAGATGGTTCTTACTGGGTTCTGCAAGTCTTTTGTCTCCTGATAAAGTGGTTATTACAGATTTGCAATTTGTAGATAAAGCACTAGTGGTTTATAAACTCTTTCTTCTAATTATTAATATACTTTGATTGAACCATTATTATATATCAGTATTGCATATATATTGATGATAAAAAATGATGAGTAAGATCTAGTACTGTCTTCGTGGGACTTACACGCAACATAATCAAACATTGTGAGCATCCATTAATACAGCATGTTGTAGCATAGAGGAAGTATGTTACCCGGTCTTCTTGAGCCGTGGGAAGCTTTTTACAGGAAGTGATGCCTCTGCTGAATCTTGAAAGGAGAGTAATGACTCAGCATTACTTGGCAAGAATTTATGACATGTCATTTAGATGACCCTTGATAACCTAGGCAAAAGCTATTCCAGTGCAGTGGTGGGCTAGAATCTGGACTGCAGTAGACTGCTAGTAAATAAGCAGATAGATATCCAGTAGGGCTGAAGAATCACAGCACAAGTCAGACAAAACAGAGAGCAAGCTTGCTAGACAGAGACTCTGGTCAGAGGAAGGATGCTTCAGCTAAGATTCAGAAGAGGTCATGACAGAGGCAGGAGTAGGACAGGAAAGTGAGTGGGTGAAACAAGTCAATAAGCTGGTGCTGAAGACCTGGGAGGCCCAGGTGTTAAATGGATCCTACACTCCGATAATGAAGGCAGCCACGTGATGACAGAAGTAGGAAAGGAAAGGAGTTATTGAAGAGGCGGAGGGAGGAGGATCACCATGAATTTGAGACCAGCCTGGATTATCTAATGAGTTCTAGGCCAGCCTTAGCTATATGGGAAGACCCTGTCTCAAAAAAAGAAGCAAGTAGAGGAATATATGGAAATAGCTGAAAATCGGAAGGAAACAACACAAAGGGGGGAACACAGAGAGAATATACATAACACAAATATCTAAAATCTGAAATGCTCCAAAATCCAAAAAACTGAACATTTGGCAGAATTTGAAATCCAAACATTTCTATTTCAGGAATTTCAGATAAGCAATTCTTAGCCTGTCAGGTATCCCTTCTTATGGCACATGCGCCAAAGGACCAAGGCTTCAGACATTGTCCTCCAATAGGAAAGGTAGCTCACATTCTGATGCTGATGGAAAGGAGGGGAGAATGGTATTCATGAGCATTTGTAGATTTTTGTCTGTAAACCCCATTTGCTGGTTTCAGTTTTCATGTGGAAGTAAAAGACTTACTCTCTTAGAATGAAAAGAATTCAGAAATGAATGAGAGTGTTGGAAATAGTCACTGGGAGGAAGTGTGGAAATGTAATAGCTCAGCAAAGGGAAATAAATACATCAGCTGCTGTAAGGATGGAGGACTGAGACTATACCCTGGTTGCTTCCTTGGTACAGCTAGGTAAATGATTGTATTCCCTGGGGATTATACAACATTAACTGTATACTGGGAGATCAATAATTTAAAACCTTTAAAAAGGTTTTATTTTTATTAAATTAACAAATATTTGGTTACTGTAAAAGTTGGAAAATTAAAAAAAAAAAACTCTTAAAAGTCTCTGTAAATGAAGTTTACCCGTAATTCCACAAGTCTGAAGTTACCCTTTGCATTTCCTGTTTGCCTGCACCAGTCGCTTATATCTCTATAAGTGTGTATGCATTTTTTATTGGGGATCATAATAACTACTTAGTCCATAAATATTCTTCCAGAGTTGACATGCCAAAATAAAGTAACTAGGATTTTTTTTTCCATCTAAGAATAGTAACAAGTATTTAGAAATACCCAAGCCAGTGTGTTCAACAGACTTAGATGCTTCCTCTGCTGATGTATAGAAGAGAATAGTAGGGTAGCATCTGAATGGCAGCTCTTCAGTGAATTTTTTGTTTCTTTAAAAATATCCTAAGCTTGTTGTTAATACAAACTGTCTCTTTCTAGGACACTAAGAAACAACACCAGGAAGTCATATCAGTTTACAGGACACATCTTCTGTATGCTGTTCAGGTATGGTAATTCCCAGTGACATATCAGGACATCCTAAAGAAGCATGGCAGCATAGCCAGGCATGGTAGCACACACGTGTAATCCCAGCACATAGGTGGTAAAGACAGGAGGATCCGAAGTTTTTGGTCATCCTCAGGTATATAGTGAGTTTGATGCCAGTTTGGGCTACATGGGACCCTGTGTCAAATAACAACTGCCACCATAATAGGGCAGCAGATGTTACCCAAACTCCCATGATTGGATGAGCAATTAGACTTAGCAGAATGAACCAGAATTAGCAGAGAGAGTCCTTTTTGAAAAGCCTAAAATAAAATCCCTTTTGCTTTGTTTCCAATTTTATGTTGTAGTCTTGTGTCCTGCTTACTGGTAGCAGATTCATCATATATTGAGAAGGAATATTATGAAGGAAGATATGTCTGCTGTCCCCCTTCAGGAAGACCCAGGCTTTATTTTATAGGAATGCCAATATTTTGAAACCCCTCAGCATTACCTTAGCCTCATGTTTGCTGATGTTCTGGCTAGCTGGGCTCACATATGCACTCAGACCCCAGTTCCCCTTTGCTGAGATCTTTGGTAGGGTCTGGGTAGACTCTGTCATCCTCTGAAGAAGTTAAAAACCAAGGACTTCCCCTGACTGGCTCATCACGGGGATGTGAGAACTGGTAGAGCTAACATTCTTCTGAATATTGGAGGCAGTAAGCAAAGGGCTTCCTCTAAGCCACCTCATTCCCCAAGGGAGAAAATGCTATGACTTAATTGAAGTTCTGATGCATGTGTTTTGTGTGAATTTCCTAGGGCCAAATGGATGAAGATGTCCAAAAAGTACTGAAGCAAATCCTTGCCATGTATAAAACCCAGTCCCAGAAGACGTAAAATGGACTCCTTGGCAGGAGGCTCCCCCTTGTCGCCCCATCTTTGTGTCACACCTGGATCCCTTACCCACCACTGTCCTTGTTCTCATTTATGATATGCACTGTGACCTAGCATAGCTATTTCTTTTCCAAAGGTTTCTGTGGACTGGTCCCAGAAGATACCCTCCTCAGAACTGCTTAGATTCTTCAGCCCAGCAGAGGTGAAGTCCAGAGCTGGGATCAGACACACCCAAATATTTGTTCCACCCTCCTTGGTATCTAACCATCTAAGTGACTTCACCATCGGGTGATCTCCTGAGGCCTCCTGTGTGGTGACTGGTGCTTTGATCTTCGCCCTTGGGCTCTGCCATTCAGCACAGGAGTTGCCTTCCAGTCCCAAAACATGATTTATTTTCTAACCAAATTAGGATGACACTAGTTATGAAGTCCGTGCTTAAGACTTCTTATCCTGTGGATTAAAAACTCTTAATTTTTTTTTTTTCCCGCTCAGCTGCCTTATATCTCATCACCCTTTTTATAAGGCTCACAGTTTGATGAGCACTATTTCAAATACAACTAAAATACAGAGTTAAAACCAAGAGCAAACTGTCCTTTAAAAAAAATTTTTAAGTACATCAACATACTGCAAATTTTCTATGCAAACTTGCCTCCTGCTGTTTTCTGTGAAGCTCAGGAAATCCAAATATTTGGTTTCAACAAAGGACAGTAAACTATGTGTTTACAAGCCAAAACAAATGCCTCAGAGTTCTTAACCTCAATTTTTTAATAGTGTTTTTTTTTTCTCTATAATATTTTCATTGGCCCATAAAGATGTTTTCATAGCCAAGTCCCTAGATAAGTGAAATTACATTAGATTATATTAATAATATTTTTTTGGTTAACTATGCTTAAGACTTTTTAAAAATATAGCTTTTTCCTCAAATGTTTTCAGCTATAGCAAAGGGTAGTTAATACATTCCTAACTTCATCTGAGCTGCCACCAGTAAGAACCCCCAGCACTGTCTGCCGTTGTACTGCCTCAGAACTGCATTACATTTCTCAGTAGAGCAAATCCTCTTTTTACCAGTTGAATATTTTTGAAAGTCCCAGCTCTACCAGCACCTAAAAATTATCTCTGGAAGGACTGTTAGTTCCAATCAGTTTTTTCACTTTGAAAATAAAAGTCCTAATAGGATAACATGTTGCATAGCAAAAGTCTTGAGAGAAAATATTTTGTTGACTCTCCTTTCGGGTTAAAAATGTTTCTGACTTGCTTACAGCTTCCCTTAAGGCCTTGATCATGAGGGAGGTACATATAATACAGAACTTTTAGTGTGTAACTAAAAGTGGAGGCCCACTCTGACAGGGCCCATAGACTACAGGGCTGCCTGGCCTCAGAGGGCACTTGGCTAAACTGGATTTGTTAATCTGTATTGGATAAAGACCAATGACAGCAAAACAAAAATTGCTTTACGTGGTCTTGTTACTTTTCTTAAACTGTTTAATTACAGTTAAGCATTTTGAAAGATGCTCCAAAGAAATGTGAAAGGACGTTTTGTCACAGAACTTAATTACAAAACAACACCCTCATTTCCCCCTTCTCCCCACACAGAAATGCTGCAGAGTGAAAAACTTGAGACATTTTGTAGAATGCCTGAGAAAATATAGCATTTTATCTTGTTTCAGGATGCATATTTATTACAAGTATTCTGGTTAAATATTGAAAAGTTGTATCTGTAGTTTCGCATTTTGTCTTTGTAATTTACAGAAATTATTAAAGAAAATAAAGTTGGTTCATTTTACATCTCTTCTGTTGGTTTTTGGTGTGATTGTGAGCTTATCTGTGGCCTCAGACAGCTAGCTTCCATAGCACTTCCGGGTGACGGTTTGCACATTCTGCAGGCTGCTCAGCCAGTGGGAGTTGTCTCCGTGGTATCACGTAAAGTGTACATCATTCTGTCTCCAAGCCGCTTTTGAGCTCATGCTGAGCTCAGCTCTAAGTTTCAGCCCCTTTGAAGCAGTTGTCTCAATCCTTTAATTCAAAATTATTTATCATTTGAACTGCAGTCTTTCTGTTTGAATCCCTACGCCTACACTACGCCTTTCCCCACTTCTATTGCCTTTTATTTATTTATTTATATATTTATTTATTTATTATTTGGGTTTGGTTTTTGAGACAGGGTCTCTCTGTAGGTAGCCCCAGCTGGCCTGAACTTGCTATATAAGACCAGGCTGGCCTTGCTCTCACAGAGATCCGAGTGCTGGGATTAAAGGTGTGTGCCATCATACCTGGCCCTTATTATTTTTTTTTAATGATTTTTTTTTTAAGTCAAATACAACTTCCTGTTTCATTAACAAGGATAATTCATTCCTGAGAAAAAAACTGCAGTAGTGCTCAGGAGATGGAGGCAGGAACATCTTGGGTTCAAGGCCAGCCTGGATTACAAAACAGGATTCTATCTCAAAAGCAAAGAAATGAACTCTTGCAGGACCAACTCTTAGGTTAAATTAATAAAACACCAAATGACAAGGAAATAGATGCTGTTGCTTAAGTAATCAACATAACTTATCACAGTAAACATGGCAAGGCCATTTCCCTTCATAACATAATTCCACCATCTCTACTTCAGCTATAATTATTACTGCTTTGTATTATGCCCTGAAACTTGATTTCAATCGAACCATGCATTTAAGACTTTTAATCCTCAATGTCTGTTTAATTGAGCTTTTCATGTTCTGCTTCTCTACCAAAAATAAAGAGAAAAAAAATAAGATGCAGAGTATGAGGTTATTTAAATTATCAAGTGCATTCTCCCTCAAGAGAAAAATTGACCTATGGCTTCATGGGGTTAGTGTATGTAACAGGAAACTTAAACTCAAACCAACCTTCTTAGAAAGAAATAGCTCATAAGCCAAAACTTAACATATTCTTCAGTGGCTGGATGTGAGGCTATAACTACAGAATAAATGAATTAAAAATCAATGTTTGCTTCCTTCCAGCCAAGTGCATTCTCCCTCAAGAGAAAAATTGACCTATGGCTTCATGGGGTTAGTGTATGTAACAGGAAACTTAAACTCAAACCAACCTTCTTAGAAAGAAATAGCTCATAAGCCAAAACTTAACATATTCTTCAGTGGCTGGATGTGAGGCTATAACTACAGAATAAATGAATTAAAAATCAATGTTTGCTTCCTTCCAGCCATTAGCTAACCCCCCCGCCCCCCCCCCACCTGAAGCCTATTAAGTTTCCTGGTCACCCAGGAAACCTCTTAAGGGGCTGGACAGGTGGCTCAGTGGTTAAGAGCACTGGTTGCTCTTCCAGAGGAGCCATCTCTCCAGCCCCCTGACATCTTACTTTAAACCAAATGATAACCATTCCAGAATTATAGGATGTTGGTTTTTAAGCCAATACAATAACTATGAAACTGGTAACACAGAGAGGCTAGAATCACCACCAATGGGGCTGCAGAGATGGCTCAGTAGTTAAGAGCACTGGCTGCTCTTGGAGAGGACCCAGGTTTGGTTCCCAGCACCCACATGGCAGCTAACTACCATCCATAACTCCAGTTCCAAAGAATCCAATGCCCTCTTCTGACCTCCGTGGACATTGCATAACATGTGTACACTTAAATAACTCCAGGCAATACACTCTTACGAGTAAAATAAAAATAATAAAATATTTTTTAAAAGATGACTGTATATACTATATGCTGTTGACACCAGCTCCTGATTACAAGCAGTTCACAGTTCATCAAACTGGTCCTGTTACCTCCTAGGTATTGAAAATTGACCCTCTAGGTGGAAGTTCTGTTTAGAAGACTATGAAACCTGATGCCCTATTGCTTCACTCACCCAATGGTGTCTGATTCCTTCTTACTATCCTTTTCTTGACTTCATTAAGTTTAATCACTTCTGCTTCAGAACCATTGCAGTAACAAAGGCTGTTTGTTGTTAATGTACTAGAATGCTCTTTTTCCCCCAGTATATATTTGTATTGAATTTTTGTGCATTTCATACATCTTGATCATATTTAGACCCCCTCCCATATCTGCACCCCCACCCCCCCAACAAATTTCATGCATTGTCATATATGTTAAGGCCTATTGAGTCAAGTTGGTGTCCCCAGATGTCCCTCAGTGTGCATTTATCCACTGGAACGCCGTCAGCTTATCTAGCATCACTCCAGAAAAGCGACAACTGGGCAAAATGTAGAGGACAAGAAACTGCAGAGTTTTGTCCCTGGATAGGACTCATTAAATCTCACCCACCCAGGGGTCAGGGACCACTGCAGAAGAGGGGCCGGAAAGATTGTAAGAGTCGGGTGGTGAAACAGTTTTGAACTTACAGCAATGTTGTTAGCATGCACAAGATCCATGCAAATTCAAACCAGACAAAAACCCAGCATAGAACTGGAAAAATGGGTAGGAGGCCCCAATCTAAGCCAGCTGACCACTGCTGGGTGATGGAAAGTTGGTCTAGAACATTCTATATATTTAGTTTCCTTGCTTCTTGGAGGTCTCTACTTAGATGCTATCTTGTCAGAGAAGTCCTCAACTTGTAAGGGAAAAATACAGAGGGAATCAAAGGTTGAAGAGAGAGAGAGAATTTAATAGTACTTAAGTTTAATTACTTCATTGCTTATAACTTCCTGGGTAAGAGCCACTTAAATCGGGTACAAGGCTAGACTGAGACATAAGAGTGCCCGGAGATAGATAACGGGATGTGGGCTGCTGCCCCAGGGCGTGACCTGTGATAAGTCACATAGGCATGTGAGAGATAACAGAAAGAGGTCAGAAATGCTTGTGTAAATAAGAGATTACAGAAATCAGGAAACTGACACATACCACCCAGAGGGTGACACACATGAATTGGCTTAAATCTATAGATTAGGTATTTTAAAGCTATTGGTTATGTGAAAAATGCATGGGCTCCATCTCTCTCTACGGCCACTGAGAAAGCCCCGCGGGCACGGGTTGAGCTAGTAAGAGCCTCAGGGTGCTCGCCGCTGAAAGACTCCCGTGAGAGGATAAGGGGGTCCCAGGCGTGAATCCCAGATAAATTCACGTCCCCTGCAGAAGAAAAACTGGGCAACGACAGGCACCCGTCCACAAGCACACCCACAGGTCATCTTGTTTAGAGTGGCTTCTTCACCTCTCTTTTCTGTAATCTTCACCCCTCTTTTCTGTGATCTCCACCATGGGCCAGACTCAGGCCACTCCTAAAGGTTTAATTTTTTCTCATTTCATAGAAGTAAAGAAACGGGCCTTGAATATGGGCCTTATTATCAAGAGAGGTAAGTTTGACACCCTCTGCTCTGCTGGATGGCCCTCCTTTGGAGTAGGCTGGCCAGCCCAGGGGTCTCTTTCCCTGGACCTTATAAGTAAGGTCAAGGCTGTTATCACCCGGCCAGACCCCGAAAGGAAATTGACACGTACCACCCAGAGGGTGACACACATGAATTAGCTTAAATCTATAGGTTAGGTATTTTAAAGCTATTGGTTGTGTGAAAATGCGTGTGCTCTGGTACAACGGCTGTGAAAATCCTATATAAACTTTACCTAAAGTTGCTTCAGGGCCAATTGCTCTAACCAGGCCTGCACACACTGACCCACCAAAGACTTCAGTCCTGGTTGCCCGGGAAGGCTTAAAGCACTCCTGTCTCAAGGGTAGAATTCCTAGTGCACCACCAGTCCTCCATGATAGTTCCTCCCTCTACCCCACCTTGCCTGGTGAGCAACCACCCCCATATGCGGCTCCACGAGAAAGAGGGGGCGAGGCAGCTGAGAGAGAGGAGGATGATGCTGTGGAGCCTCACAGAGACCAGGGCAGCTGCCCCTTCCCCAGACTCCTCAACAGGGGAGGGCAGGTGACCGGGAGAGACAGGAAGGATGCAATTAAGGCCTCAAGGGACCAGGGAACGAGAGGGAGAAACTCCATCTTGCACTTCAGAAGAAGCAGTGCCTATTCAACAGGTACGAGCGTTCAGGGCGGGCGGCCCAGATGGAGTTCAACAATACCAGTATTGGCCCTTTTCCTCCAGTGATCTCTATAATTGGAGGACTCAGAACCCTCCCTTTTCGGAGGACCCTAAGTGTCTTATAGGTTTGGTAGAGTCCATTATGTTCACCCATTGTCCCACGTGGGATGATTGCCAGCAGTTGCTCCACACCCTCTTCACAATGGAAGAATGAGAGCGCATCCTCAATGAGGCCAGGGAAAATGTCCTCAGAGAAAATGGAAGGCCCACCACTCTCCAGACCACCATCGACAAGACGTTCCCGCTTACATGCCCGAATTGGGATTTCGGGACTACAGAAGGTAGGGAGCGTCTCCGGGTCTACCGCCAGACTCTAATGACTGGTCTTCAGGCAGCCCCCAACATCAGGAAGAAACTCCATAAATGGGACGATCTGGGAGAAATCTCTATCAGGGAAATGTTGCAGCAAGCAGAGAAGGTCTTCAATGCTAGGGAAACTCTGGAAGACAGGGAGGAGAGGCTAAGGAAAGAAGAAAGGGAGATGCAGGACAAATATAGGAAAGAGGACAGAAGGTTCCAGAGTAGGGAGAACAAGAAACATAGGGAGGAGATGGCCAGGATATTCTTGGCTGGGGTGAAAGAGAATCCTGAGTCACCCCAAGGGCAGGACCCTGCCAACCTCGACTAGGATGAGATCAATGTGCCCTGTGCAAAGGATACAGACATTGGAAGAAAGAATGCCCACTGAAAAGAAAACAAGAAAGAGGAAGAAACCCTGTTAAGACCCTCTACTTAGGAGAGGAAAATTGATGGGGATGGGACTCGG